TGGCTGCAGAGCCAAAGGTTGGGAGTTCGATTCCCCTTTGGTGCCTCCTGGGAGAAGAGCCAGCCTGGGTAGCCTTGGGCCAGCTGCCCAGTGGTCCTAGAGCGCCCCCAGAGGAAGGGAAGGGTATAACCACTTCTGTGTATTCTCGACCTGGAAAACCCTGAAAAAGGGGTCACCATAAGTCAGAATTGACTTGGCAGCCCACGATTCTTCTGCACAAACTAACACGGATATCTCTTCCAAAACTATGATTATTGTTATTATGGAATACATGGAAAAGGGATTTACTGTACATGAACATAGGTCATACAGCGGCTCGGGGTGCCAACAGTTATCTTAGATGGAAACAGTTTCCATTTTATCTCCCACCACCCCACATACACACCGTGAAGACACAACTAGTGAACCCTGCTGTTCCCTTTTCCCCTTTTAAATTATGGCCATTATTCACTGGTGTTGTAGTTCTACCACTCAGTGCTTCAACCTTCTGAAGCGTGAGGTCCCTGCTTGTGCCTTTTTACCCAAAAAGACAAGGAACAGTGGTGAGTTAGGGCAAAAGTTGTGGGTTGCTCCTTGCATCCGATTAGGTTTGGGCGTGTTCCCCTATGTAGATAAATACTGATTGCTTTTTCGTGCCAATCAGAACAACGTTGGCGTGAGGTCAAAACCTGCTCCCTCCTTGAGTGCTTACTCTTGGTAAGCCAGCTCTCATGAAAAGGGGTTGCATAAGCGTTACAATCTGCCCCTTTGGAAAACACAAGCATCTTCTCTCTACACACAGATACGCAAATCTATACGCTTCTTCTGCCATAATGACAGTGGGCATTCCGCTCATAACATATAACGGCACTCAAGCCTTATAAATAAATAAAGGCAGCGATTGACTGACAAGTAGCTCCTCGTATAACGGCACTCAAGCCTTATAAATAAATCTCAGCTATTATTCGGAGGCAGCGACTGACTGACAAGTAGCTCCTCAGTGATCAGTCTTGGTTGTGTATGTGATAAAGCTATCAATAAACGGAGATCAGCCAGAACAAGGAAAGGCACAACCCTTGATATTTCCGGAATTTAAAGATGGTTCTGTTAGGTCCGACACCTCTGACCTGTCAGGAGGTCTCAGGTCTAGATCTCACTGATGTGGCAAAGCTTTGTCTGTCTGGGCGACAAGGTATACCCACTTCCAAGAGGATTCCCTTGATTGAGTGAGCTGAGAGTTTGATCCCCCCTCTGTGCCTCCTGAGAGAAAGAGCCAGCCTGGGTAGCCTTGGGCCAGCTGCACCGTCCCAAGGTTGCCCCTAGAGGAAGGGAAGGGTAAAGCACTTCTGAGTACTCTCTCCCTGGAAAACCCTGAAAAGGGTCAACATAAGTCAAAATGGTCTTGACAGCACATCATCATTCTCAAACCAGTGTATAAATAATGACAGCTTTAATTTACACCTCCTCTTCTACAGATGTAATGTTTTTCCCGCATGGGGACTGGGACTAGGATGTGAAGAAGCACAGGACTTTTACGAGAATTCACTTGCACCCTCTATGGAAGCGTGATCAACAGCCAGCTTTTACAACACTTTGACTATGTTGACAGGCATATGAAAGAAACAGATTTTGTTCAGATCCTTTCCACCTCGCTGTCTCCTTATCCATTTTTTAACCAGAAATAATTATGTAAGATTACACTTCAGTTTGGTTAACCATTTGGTAGAAGTGTGAGGTATCTAATCCTGGTGAATAAACAGGAAATGCTAATAAAGCAGGTCTCTTTAATGCAGGTACAAAACAGCTTTGTCATAGTGACTGTCAAAGAAGTCAGTGAACTATGATGAAAGAACAGTAAACAAATATTCTCTGGCAATTTTTTTTAAAAGTTGTGGCCTTCAGCAAAAAAAAAAAAAAAAATGCATAGTTAATTCAGGAACCTGAACAAGCTGAAGCCCAGCCTTATAGTCATAGGGTCGATGGAATCATAATCAGTTTTATCCCCCAAAATAAGCCTTTATAGAACTGAAAGGAACCAATATGAACTCTGTAATATTGCATATGAATCCTTGGATTCATGCTAGATCCTTTGCATTAACGTAACCCAGGGCAATCTATAGTTACTTCCAAATTAGTATATGTGAGATTGCTTTATTGAGCTTTCAGTTTTCTGTGGTTTTTGATCCAAATTCCATATAATTTCTTGTCCTTGTCATGCATTTTGCGTAGATGTCCAGTGAATGTTTTTCCCTTGAACTTCCTGCTACAAATTAAAGTTTAACAGTTTGTTATTATAAATACTGTAACACATGACGGCTGGGGGGGGCTACCTCTGGAACACATTAGATGGTGTTAGTTAGCATCAGCTATTTTTCTCATTTTTTTTCTCGTTCAGCGTTGTTTCCCGATTAAGGCAGCAGGAAATTGCTGAAATGTTGTGTTACTCTGTGCATATGACTTTGCCACTCTGAAATAATTCATGTTCCCCACTCCTCTCACAGAAGATGAGTTTGAATGAGTAAAGAAAGTAATAAGAAAATGCCAGCATCACTGTAATGGGCTAGCAATTAATCTGTAGCCCAGGAAAACTCCTACTGAGATGCATCTTTTAAAGATACAATGCATGAGTGTGCCATTTAGTTTTGTCTCCTTTTTTCTGGTGTAAAACAAACCAGAAATGAACATTTTGTGCTCCTGACAGATTTATTTTGGTGAGATTCCCTTGGTTACAATCTCCTTCTTCCGACACAGCAAACGGAACTGTAATCCACAAAAACCCACTGGCATTAAAATCTCTTTAAGACACCACAATTTATTTATTTATTGCTCATCCAGGGACACGTCACAGGGCTACTTCTTTTCAGAGGTTTTGACAACAATATTCGTTTGTTCAGGAAACAGTTAAAAACAGAACGATTTGAACCCGCCTTTAGAAGCGGATTCTTGTTTTACCTTTCTGTTCCTCTTGTTTTTTTAAAAAAACTGCCATATTATTCCAATATTCATCTATTGTCCTAATATTTTAATTTTTTCTTGTCTTATCTTCCATTTTCTTTTTAACGATTTTTTAAAAAGAAATTGTCCTAATATTTATTCATTGTCCTAATATTTCTTGCCCTGTTGGGGGGGGGGTGTCTTCGAAATGTGTCATTTTAAACTTGTAAAGCGCCCAAAGTAGTGCGTGCACGAAATAGGGTCGTGTATATAAATCAAGTAAATACATATTTTTTTACAAAAAATAACAAGACCAACAAAACATGAACTTTCTCAAGAGATTATTATTTTATTTAATATATCTTTGCCATTTGGGGCGGATAAATTTCCTGAGAGGAATCCCGCTCGAACCCCGTGAGGGAACCCCTATCCCTCAGAGAAGCTGCCCCCCCCACCATTTTGGGGTCCCTTCACCCCAAAAATGTGTGGCGGGGGGTCTGAGGGGGCGCAGGCGTGGCAGGAGGGGGGAAAAGAAGGTGCGCGAACTGCCCAGCCGCGCGTGCGCACAACGGGGATGCCCTTCTCGTCTCCCCCCCAC